TAATTGAAAAACATTCTCTACCTCACTCCGCTTTGATGAGAAAAATAAGCAACATTTCCAGTATCTAGCTTTGCAAAGCTGGCAGAGATATCCTCCACAGACCTGCAGCTGTAACTGCAGTGAAAGGTGTTTCTACAAAGAGTTACATTAAGGAATGGAATAAAATTGCACTCATATGCCAGATTTTTATTTCCACTTCATTATCATGCAGTCCCTTTGCTACCCAAATACGTCAAATCCCAAGAAAATACTGTAAACTGTATAATTTTGCATCTTAACTGACAAAATGTGAAAACGTTCATAGTGTGAACACTACTGCAAGGTACTGTAAGTGTTTTCAAACACCTCTGTCCGCTAACTGAGAGAGAAGTCACAGCTCCATTCAGTGTGTGTTAGGGAGACATACTAATATTCTCACTCGTATTTTTACTCTGATCATATCTTTCAGTTGTTGCTTCAAGCTGCTGGAGGAACAGGAACTGTCTGTGGTTAGAATCTTTGAATGATTGCTATTTTGAACCTCTGAAATGCTGTTGTTTTTGAGGCACACAGGTACATAAGTAAACAGAGCTTCTGGAAAGTATTCACGCTTTTCTATGTTTTGTTATGTTACAGCCATACTGCAAATTCTTCGCACAAATACTGCATTATGACAGTGTGGATTTTTTTGAGTGATTTCATGGTGTTAATAAATCAGCAAACACTCAAAACCCTTTTTCCACATTGTCATAACGGGGTATTTGTGTGCAGAATTTTGCCTTGAGATTAATTTAATAAAATTTGGAATAAGGTTGTAACACACAAAAAATGTAGGAAAATGAAGAACTGTGAATATTTTCCAAATGTTCCGTATTATAATAATAACTGAAAATCCCTTCACAGTAAAGTCAAGTGCTTAGATGCAATTTTTTTTTTTTATAATTATGAGCTGGATTAGGACTTTTACAAAGTGCTGTCTGCCAATGCTATATGGTGCTTTGCTGATACTTCACATTCTGAGATGATCTGTTGTTCATATAATTATATGGAGCTCTAGGACTCTGCCTGGGGATTACAGGTTTAACTTGTTTAGCTGGGGCTGTTTGGCATGTCTGAATTCAGGTGTGGCGTTTGTACTCTGACATATTCAAAGAAATATTCAAATAACACCACTGTATTTTATTTACTTTGCCTTTTAAATAATTTTTTTTAAAGAAAACAAGTAAACTATTTGATTAAAATAAGCATTTTTTTCTCTTGTATAAAGCACTGTTTGCAACTTAAAGCCTTTTCATCAAAGTTGCTCTTTGCTTTCTCTGTCATTTGTTTTCTGTGTAACTTCCACATCGACTTTCTGAGAGGTCACGGTGGCACAGAGAAAGTAAAAAAAAAAAAAGTCTAAATGCCAAATGAGAAAAAGACAGCAGGGCTCATGCAGCATAACAGAGGTACCTTCCTAACCTCTTTCAGACAATTTCACCACATGAAAGAGAGGACATGTTGAAAATGTGAACTTCTGAATGAAGCAGTGCTTTTTGTGTCTGCTTAAATTCCTCTTCTTTTTCTGACTAGTAACTCCACAACCTCCAAGCTCTGAATCAACATCACTGGGCCAGGGGTGAGAAAGGAGATTACATATTATCAGAGTCCTTCAGAAGCGGCACCAGGATTATGAAAGAAGCCAGGCTGCGAATCTGGAGGAGAACAATGCAGTCAGCTGCTCCTGACACGCCAAGACAAAAACAAGCCATTCCCCATTCGTGGATCCTATCCCAATCAGGGTGGGTGTCCACTGAATGCATAATTATTCATTTGAGCAGGCCGTTTATCTCAAGCTAAAATGTTGCTAACTGCAACATGATGCTCAATGCACACATGCACTTTTAAGAAACATAGGAGAGCAGCATGGCTTTGGTGAAATGTCCCACACCAACACAAAGGTAATCCAATCAGTTAAAAGTAAGCACTGTTTGCCACTTGATGATGTCATTACCAACACACAGGGATTAATTTTAACTAAACAGCTGCAGTAAATTAATAAATTTGTATTCCTTCACAGCTAAAAACAAACTATACCCAATTGTAACTAAAGTGTCTTTAAATGATTTGCAAAGCAAATCTTTTGGCATTTCTGCAGTCCTGAGGGATCACACTGCTGCCTTAGATTGATAGCTTTTCTCAGAGCCTTTGTGGTCACAGAACAATAGGAAATGAGCGGGAGGCCTTGACGTGTCACATGTGGTGCCTTTGATTAACATACTAGACTTGTTTGTGTAACAGGATCTTGGGGTGAGGTAGAAAAAAAAAGTACTAAAAACTGAATCACAACGTTGCAGGGGGTAGGAAGATATTTTAATTTGACTGAGACTGAGAGTGAGTCAGTCTTCTGAACTATTATTTTAGAGGTTCTGCTTTAGACTGATTTTGATGGTTGAGATTGAGGAGAACACACTTAAAAAAAACCCTCCAAAAAGTCACTGATGCTTTGAAATGTACTGTGAAAAATATAACAAATATAATAATATAGATTTTTACAGAAGAGCTGAGTATGTACAAAGAGCAGTTTTTATATAGCAACTTTGTTTACTTATAAAGGTGTGTATATCTAAAAGCAACCTGGTACGGTGGAAAATCAATCCCCCAATCTAATCTAATCTAATCTAATCTAATCTAATCTAATATCTAATTTTGCCACTCTGTATGGCAGAAACTGTCATTGTGCCTTTGTAAGACAGATCTTTTGCATCACTGTGGAAGAATTTTGACCCACTCTTCTTTGCAGAATTGTTTTAATTCATTCATATTAGATCATTTTCAGTATGAACAGCATGACGAATCAATTGGCTTTATGTTTGAGATTTGACTCCCTACAAATCTTCCTCTTGTTTATGTGTTATTTTAACCATTCAGAGCAGATTTATTGTTAGTGTGTTGGGGCTTAAATTCACAAACTTGCTGGACATTCTCCATTCTGCAGCAAAATGTTTCATCAAATATTTCAAGTTATGCAAGTCCTGACTTGAATTGAGGCAAATCGATTGGTGGCGCCGGTTCTTGACTTCTTGGATCATCCATTATGGTGGTCCTGGAGTGATTTTGGATGGATGGATCCTACTCCTAGAAAGGTTTAGCAAAAATGTTTTGTCAATTTCTTTACATTAATTCTGACTGTAATTTGCTGGAGCCACAAATGTTCAGAGATGGATTTTGTTGCCCATTCTAAATTGATAGATGTCAGTGGCTTTGTTTCTCATCTTTTCTTTAATTTCTTCCAATCAGAACACAATAAGTGGCTTTTTGAGAGCTTTCAGTCAACTTTATGTTGTCAGACAGGTTTTAATTAAGGGACTTCTTGGTCCTACAAGCCAGACAGTAACCAGACTTGGGCGGGGCAAGTGAAATTGAATTCAGCTTTTCAAAAAATGTGGTTAATCAAAGTTAATGATTTAACAATGAGGCACAATTGTACTTTTACTGCATTGAACAGCTTTTTCCGCTTTTAATGAATAATATAATTTTAAAAGTTTTTATATACATCTATATTTGCTCATTGTTGTCTGGTATTATGATTTGTTTGGCAATCCTAAACAAGAAATCTGTAAATAAGTGATTTTTGTTTTTGTTTTTTTAAATTTTATTCATTTATTTTCTTTTTTGTTAATCTTTTCACAAGCATATTTTTCAGTTACACATTTTGATGACACCATTTACCCACCTGCACACCTACCCATGTTTTCACTACCTAGTTGACACAGCATCGTCCCAACCTATAAGGTAGCAGCAAAGAAACTCCAAACATCTTTTAATATATCTTGGCAAAACAGCAGGCAGTTTAAGAGCTAACAATCCTCAGATAGTTTTGCCAAATGGAGTCTTTGTTCCATGTTCCTCTAGGGAGTGGTTACAGATAAAAGTTTTTCTCTTTTTTCTCTCCTTTCGGGGGAGGGAGAGAGTGTCTCCGTAATGAGTTTACACTAAAGTCTGCTGAATATCTCCATTGACTGAAAGCTGTTGAGTTAGCATCAATGTCTTCTTTGGAAAGTTTTTTTAGAGGTGGAGGAGGGGCAGGTTTTAGGCTGCATGTGATTTTCTTTATCTCAAAACATCTGTGTTGCAATAGTGATTTCTCTGTGTTTTTAATATGTATGACATTGATATATGTCAATGCTTTTTCATAATAAAATCATCCTTTATCATGCCCATCATGTAAGGAAGTATATTTCTTTGTGTAGAATCACATTAAGGTGGATTTGTAACTGATCTCCTTTGGGTGGGTTCGGCTGATGAAATAGGAAGAACATGAAATTTCCCACAACTCAGCCAACCTGCTTCTGCATCTGCATTATAAAAAAAAGAAAGAAAGAAAAAGAAACCTCATGTAACAGTGAAAGGCTAAGGAACCCCTCCCCCACCTCCACATGGTAGCTGATGCATGACGTGAAAATGGAGGAAAGAACTACAGTTTAGGTGAGTTACACCTCAAAGTGTCACGTAGCCTTGTGTCAGCACAATAATTCACTTTATTGGGACAATTTACCCCCTTTTTTCTTCTTAAAAACGGGACGCTTTAGCAGCATACAAAGTCAAAGCAGTAAACAATGCAGAGCTCATGGACGTCACTGTATAGAGGTGTAACTGTTATAGTGAGTTTTGGAAAACAATCTGATATAAGTGTAAATAAATTACTAAATCTTACCTGCGCCATTATTAGAGAAATGTTTTATAGGAATTAATATTAAAACAAAGAGATAACTACTCCCAAGTTTTTAAGTGTGTTTTTTACAATGTGTCATTTTTCTGTCATTCATGACCACGTGACTGTCGTGTGGGATTTTTTTTTTTCTTCTTTTATGGGGAAGGGGGGTGACGCCGTGCACGCGCTCTATCTCCCCCCAGCCCCCCACCTCGAGACAGAGAGTGGCACAGCGCACGCGCCTCAGAACTCAACAGCTGCACGCAGTGAGGAGGACTCGCCAAGTAGAACAAATATGATTCACATTCAAACAATTGATTAGGTGAGCCGTCCACCAGCACACTCACACGTACAGAGAGAGAGAGAGAGGGCGCTGCGTGAAATGAAGAAGCTACCCGACACAAACAGCAGCAGCAAAAAAAGCAGCGTGGCGGCTCACTCCTTCCTTTTCGCTCGTAGTATATCACTATAGTTAATACTAATCCGGAAATTCGGACTTGGTAGGTATTGTTTGGTGAGTTTCTACAGTTTGCTCGCAAGTCGTGAACAGCAGACAAGAAAGTGGGGAGAAAATGTTTCCTAACTGTTTCTGGTATGCTCAAAATTACTTAACACGACGGGTTCATAAATTATGTCGGTGACCTTAGCGTGTTGTTGTGGTTCAAGTTTTAGAACAAACGGTTTAATGTTGCCATGACATAAGCGTTGTCGTCGCTTTTTGAACTGAATTCTTTTTTGTTGTTTTTTATTGAAGTTAAATTGTGACGCAAAACTGTGTGGCTTTTAAAAACCAAATTAACTCCTCGTGTTTGGCTTATAATGCACATATAGAAGCGTAATAGCCAGACTATTAAAATAAAACTTTTATTTTTGTTTGAGCTGTATTTAGTTAACTGCTACTTGCGCATCCCCCCTCGCGACTCGGTAAACGTTGAGGGTCCCTCTTAGACCACATCTGTGCTTTCTTGAATAACAAGGTGACTAACAGGAACACAAAGCTTGCGTGTACTTAAAAAAAGCAGAAGAAACTAACAAAAACGCTCAAGGTCCTGCTTGTTATCGACAGTATAGCCAGAGGTCAACTGGATAAAGTGGCATAACATTAAGTTATAAACTTAACTTGATGTCAAAAAATATTAAATATTGTTTAGATTGGATTTAGTTTGGATTTGATCTTAAGCAGAGTCGGGATTTTCCTGTTGACCCCATTTCCTCTTAAATAATGATTCATTTTTTTTATGCAAGTTCCTACATTAGGTTTTGCTAGCAGGAACAATAAAACACTTAAATTAAAATTGTTTTACCATGATGGCACTTTTAGTTTCAGTCTTGTGATTAAAATGTAATTTAGCTTTAGTCCTAATTTCATAATTTGTAGTCAAATTGTAGCCCACTAAACTTTTATGTTTTAACAACAAACTTTTTAATTGACTAAATTGTAGTCATAATTTTAGCAAACTGAACAAAATTAATTGATGAGCTAAGAAAATGCTAAGCTATCTAGCACTAAACGTAAGCATTTACTATGGTAAAAGTTAGATTTTAAAGTGTCTTTAAGATTGCTCTGCCACTAAATGTAATCTTAAAACATTTTTTAATTAAAATAACTTTCAAAAATATTGAATAAAATATATATAAGTGGAAAAAATAAATAATAAACTCCTAAAATAGCATTTATCATAACCTGTTAAAAATAGGAAGTGGAAACATTCTGCCAAAATAGTTTTAAATGTTACGTGTATTATGAAACAATCAGGTCCTTTTTCCCCACACTGATCAGTTTCAGCAGAAATCCTCACTTTAAATTTCAGATTTATAATTTGTCAATATGATTGCTTGGTTGACTTTTCTTTTTTAACTCTCTTCTCTATCTCTCATTTCTTACTACTATGCATAAAAAAACAAAGCCGTGAGAGATTATCCTGTGCAGTAGTTGCATTTAGTTTTCGGTTTTCTTGGTTTGCTGCTCTTCAGAACAACCTTTGTAGCTAATCTGCAGCATTTTGAAGAAACATAGAAATAGTTTAAGATTCACATGCTTTTTCTGCATTCTGTTGTCTGCTGTTATCTGAGGAATCTGTAGCTGACAAGACAAAAGGGAAAATACCAGCACCTATTGGTATTGAAATATTCTAATTATTCAAAAGATGTCATATTATTGAAAAGCCCATAAGAAATTTGGTCATATCTGGGTTTTTTTTAATGGTTTACATGGTTGATCCATTTATGCCACATATCAACCAGTCAAAGCAATATCAGGAACCTCTTCATACAGTAGACCTCCATATGCATGCTGTAAAAGAAACAGGATTTTAATGTTATACATTAGCGGACCATCCCATATGAGTCAGAAAAAGCCTCTTTGTGTTGCTTGTTTTCATCATTTAGGAATTTAAAATAAGGAAATCCACATAATAGGTGATTAAAACAGGAAATGCATTACATGAACATGAAAAATAATTAAAAAAGAGGATAAACTGGTGATAAATATTCATATTTTTAGTATTTACAGCTGAAAGCTAATTGGTTAACCAAACAGTTTCCTGAGATTAAGGCTACATTGTATGTTAACATTGAGTCTTTCAGCTTAGTGTGGTGCTTGATGTAGTTTTCAGACACTAAGGTTAGTCTTTCTGATTAGGGGTATGTCTACTGTGACTTAAAGAGACATTTAGTTTTTATCAGTGGTCTGTACAGAGAGGAAATGAGTTGTCTGTGTAGTTGATTGCTTAAAACAGATAAATTTCCTGTTTTCAGTATTAGAAGGTTGTTCCTATATATTTAAAGTTGATTATAAGGCAATGAATGGGCCAATCTTGTTTCAATATTAACCAAATCTTACTTTTTTTTTTCTTTTAGGTTCCTCTTCTGGACTGTGCACTGAGCCTCAGAGGAAAATGCCAACTCACTCTTTACTGCCATTTGTGGACAGCCCAGATGGCCTTCTCCAAGATATCCTGATTAGTAACAATGCAGGAATCCCAGGGCCTAGTTGCAGCATGACACCACAGAGCGCTTGCACTGCGAAGGCCGTGTTACAGTCTGAGGACAGTGTGCAGCTATCCTGCATGTTTTGCGATCAGGTTTTCACGCATCAGGATGAGCTCGGCCCGCATGTGCTCACACATCACCCCACTACATTCTACGAACCCATGGTGCTGCGGGTCGATGCTGAGTTCAGGGTCCCCGGGGAGAGATCCCGGCCCAAACCCAGCGTCTTGCCCACGCAGGAGGAGGTAGCAGCTCCCAGCTGCATCGTTTGCGGTCAGGTGGCGCACGATGCTAGTGAACTGGAGACCCACATGAGGAAGCACAAGGACTACTTTACTTACTGTTGCAACGTTTGTGGACGGCGGTTCAGAGAGTCATGGTTTTTGAAAAATCACATGAAGATGCATGTGAAACCGGGACCAAAGAGCAGGGCTGTTCTGGACCAGGAGGCCCCATTCACCATTAATGGCATCACCCAGGAGCCGTCCTTGGAGCCCGTCCTGTCTGTTTACAAAATGTGCATGATTTGTGGGTTTTTCTTCCCTGATCATGACAGTTTGGCGGAACATAGTAAGGTTCACAATCGAGAGGCGGAGCTAGGTAAAGATGAAGGCAAGGAGAAGATTGATGGTTCTACTGAGTCCCACAAACAGGAAGCTTTTTTACATAGTCTCAACCTGCAGCCTGCCTCTGAAAATAAAAGTTTAAACAATGCAAGATCATCTAAGTGGATTCCCCAGCTGGATCCCTTTACTACATATCAGGCCTGGCAGCTTGCGACAAAGGGCAAGATAGCAGTTGGCCCTAATAATACTAAAGATATCGGTCAGGAACTCAGCACAGACAACGAAGACTGTGGCTCTGATAAAGAAGAGACTAGTGTTATATGGTCAGAAGGTCAAGGAGACAAAACTGTGAAAGAACTCCGGTCTCAGCCGCAGTCTGCTACTGAATCCTCCAACCCACCGCGGAGGTCACTCATGCAAAAACATAAGGACAAAGAGAGGCCAACCACTTGTGAGGAGTGTCACAAAACATTCAGAACCTATCACCAGTTGGTTCTCCACTCCAGGGTCCACAAGCGTGAGAGAGGTGGCGAAGATAGTCCAACTTCTTCTGCTGATATGAAAACGCCAAGAACAGTCTCACAGGACCCGGCAGAGGAGGCGCACGAGGAGGCTTTGGAGGAAAACTTCATTTCAGGTAAAACTGGAGCTCTGTTTAGGCTGCTACAAAGTGCTCCATCTGCTGACAAAATGGGTAATTACACCTAATTTTTTTTTTTGACATATTCCTTTACTGTTTTTTTTTTTCAGGAGAGGATGGTCTTGATCGATCAAAATACAGGTCCAAAGAATGCAGCTACTGTGGCAAATCATTCCGATCGAGTTATTACCTCACAGTTCACATGAGAACTCACACAGGTATTTATATATCACTTTTGCTTTAATTTGTAACCTTAAAATAGTATTGATACATCTTAAAATTTTCCACATTTTGTAATGTCACAACCAGAAACTTTTGAAAGATTAAAGGATTTTAATGAGAGTGCATGATAGTGTAACAGAAAACATTGATGAAAATGATACATTGTCTTTTTTTAGAAAGAAGATTCTGTGGCATGCATTTTTTTTTAGCATCCCTGAGGCAATACTTTTGGTGCAGTTTTTGGTGCATGTCTCTATCAGCTTTGCACATCTTGAAACAGAAATATTTTGCCCATTCTACTTTGTACAATAGCTCAGTCAGAAGTGATGAACACCAGTTTGTTTATGGTCTTTATCCTGCTAGAAAGTGAACCTTTGCCCCAGTCTCAAGTCTTTTGCAGCCTGTACCTGTACCTTTGAGCAGCTTTTCTGTCTTTGCTGAAGAAAAATATCTCCACGACATGGCTTTTGAATTTTTACACTGGTCTCACGTGTCAAGAGCACATCCTCACATTTGCTGTGTCTTCTGTAGTCCCTGTAGACACCTGCAAACAATGATTTTATTCTTGCTGCTTTTTCATAGTGGCCAGATTTGTAAATTTCATAACTAATTGTTGTCCTACTGCCAACTTCTGTCACCTGAGCTAAGGGTTTCTGAAGCTCCTTCAGAGTTGTCATGGATATCTTGATAGCTCTTCTCTGATAAATGCTCTCCTTTCCCAGTTGGTCAGTTTAGATGGATGGCCATATCATTATAAATTTGCAGCTTGGCAATACTTTCTCCTTCGTAGTTGGATTGAACACCTTTTATCAAGAGCTTTACCAAATATTCACAGTTTGGAATATTGTTTGTAACCAAATCCTACTTTAAACTTCTCTACTGGTTTATCCCAAACTGTCTGTTTTTTCACAAAGCTGTTTTTTCTCTAACAAGTGCATGAGGCCTTCAATAAATAAACAGAGACTTTATCAAGCCTTAAAACTTGGTAAAGTGCTATACAAATGTAGGCCATTTACCTTTAAAGGGAGCTGAATATAAATGTAGGCCTGACCTTTGAAAATTTTATTTATAAAAAAAAAACAAAGTTTAAACATTTTTCTACTGCTTGGTAATTATGATCTACTTGTATGGGTCTCTTGCCTAAAATCCCAATAAAATGTATCTAAATTTGTGACAAATCAAATCATCCCTTTATGTTGCATGAAAAAAGGCATAATTTTACAATTAATCAGAGGTTCCTGCAATCAAGCTAAAGTGATTTAATTTGCATATTTTCCAGGTGAGAAACCCTATAAATGTGTTTATTGCAACTACGCAGCCGCTCAGAAGACTTCACTAAAATACCACTATCATCATCGCCACAAAGACAAACCATATATGGAAAGCTCCAGCAGATCTGGACCTCTACTACCTTCTCCTGATGGTAGCCCTGCCCCAAGCAGACCTAAACTCTGGAATTCAAAAGCAAATGGAACACCTAAGGTTAGATTTGATAGCTTGGACATAAAACCAGATAAGCATATTGTGCAACTAAACACAGAAGGCAATGATGTACAAGTAGAGCAACCACTAGCGGTTAACCTGAAAAAGGAAAAGGAGGAAAGGAACGAGAACTCTGAGGGTCCATTAAATTTGTCCTTGAAAGTGACTGTTTCTATAGCTGCCGAAGCCAGATGTGCATTGACGCCAAATTCATGCTCATTTTGCACATATAAAACCCTTTACCCTGAGGTTCTTGTAATGCACAAAAGGTTGATGCATAAAGACAAATCAGATAACACCAAAAAGAACGAATATGGATACAGTGTGAAACGAAAACGTTATACAGGTTGCCCCCCTGCTCTGGAGGGGAAAGATGTTATTCCTCTCCAGATGACTGACAGACGCCATCCTCGCCGGACCAAATCCCCACTTCCACAACCCTCCAAACCTCCAGAAGGTCTCCCAGTAAACCAGCCTCACGGCCCAAAGTGCTCACCGGTCCCTGCACCAGGCCGAGACGTCAAGCCGGGGTTCCAACCTTACCAACAAAACGTTGAGTCCCACCCCAACCAGGAATCCTCCAAGTACACAGAGGTTACGAGGAAAACCAACGCAGGCAGTAAGTATGTAGTGGACAGGTCAGCTTCTCTGGACAGAGTGGGAGTAAGCGAGAGGAGCTACCCATCAAGAAGCGGCGCCCTTTGGCACTCGGATGCTGCTCGCCTGTGTCTGTCGAGCAGATTTGGGAGCCTCCCTCAAGTGGATTTTGGTGACCCATCTGGCAAGAGATTGAAGCTTTCTGTACCAACAAACAGAGCAACTGAGACTGGCGAGAAAGCGTCTTTTAGACCACCACCACTAGACGGACCCAGTAGGTTGCTTTTTCCAGGAAGAAATGCATCGCAGGGGCCAGGCCCATCCTCGTCTTCCCTGTGTCCAATTAAAACCGGGTCTACACCTCTGGGGGGAAGTTTGGAGTCGGAGTGGAACATGATGAACTTTCTGCACTACACACCAAATGATCTGGCATCCCTCTACCACAGCACACCAACAAACCCCAGTCACGGAGGACTGGCCAACCCCAGAGTTGGTATGTATTAATTTTGTACACTAAGAGGGAAACTTTGTACAGTTTTACTGAAATTAAACTTCATTGTGTGTGTATATATATGCATAATCCATATTTTGGAGAACTAATACTAATTATTCTTGCTCAGGGGCCAGAACTCTACTGTATCAACCCTTACCAAGCCTGCCCAGCCTTCCAAGGAGAGACCCCTCAACCTCTTTCCCACACCAGTGCTACGGGACCACTGACAAGAACTCCTAAAATAAAAAGCACCAAGGTAAACCACTGGAAAATATGTGCAACAAATTTGTTTTGAACTTCAAACCTTTTTTTTTCTTGCTTTTGTTGTTGTCCTTCACTGGATTGAAACTTGTTATCCGCGGTATAATTTTGTTTCCCTTTTTCTATATGTAAACAGAGCTGCTACCTTATTTCGGAGAACTTTATGGAAAAAGTATTTAATTTCTGCATTTATAAAATGAGTCTGCTCAGACTGTGCCTTTGTTGCCTTTAATTTAATGTAGATTCGATAGAAGAAAATGTGTGTTATATGGATATTTCAGGAGCTGAGAATTTCATTATACAGTTATTTTCTTATCCACGTGCACAGATATAAGTGCACAGATATTTCTCCACTTGGTGTACACTGGGATATTGCTATCAATTTAAACATTTATCTAAAGTCATATTCTACCCACACTAATCTTTAAATATCAGGTTATGTAACAACAAAAGCAGTGTGTAAGATTAGATAAAATCCGCCTCTACGTGAGACGGGATTTGTGTGAAAATGACGGCTCCATTCGCCTTCTGGCAGCAGTTAAACAATTTTGTTTTTGTCTCTTCCAAATCACCGATGAGAAGTTTGATGGTCTTGGCCCATTAGATTACAAGTAGGCCACAGAAACCGTTTTTTCTGGATGCTCTACCTCATGCTGCTCTCTGTACACTTAGTTATTTTTAAAGCTGTTGTTGCTATAATGTCAACTGAGCTTGTGTACCTTGATAAATGGAGTATTTCAGAAATTGTCAAAAACCACATGTAATACACTGTGACACACAACTACATCTACATTTTTGGTGTGGATTAAGTTCATATGCTTCAAGCAGAAAATACTTTAGTTACAAGATTCTTTTAAAATGGTACATTTAATCATTAACCTCTAGTGCCTCGGATCCATCAGCTGCGAACCGTGGTTCGGTTTGTAATAAAATGATCAAACCTTGTCATTTGATTGGTGCACATTCAGTCTTGAAAGTGTGTAGTTTCCAGTGACCTTTTATGTGTGTGCCTGGGAAAAACAACAACCTAGAAGCAGCTGTTTTGATTAATGATTCAATTAAATGTGAACTGTGAAGAAAAGAGTCTCAGGTTAACTGCTTTACTCGATGCTCAGGCGTCGCTTGCGTAATTTTGTTTCTTTTGCATTGAAATGCCTGAGATAAATGTGGTTTTTTTGTATTTGGCTTGCATGTAAACTTCATGTAAAATTGATACTATTGTTTTGAAATTTGTATGACATTTCAGTAATAAAAATGAGAGGCAAAGAATTTGTCAAGGTTTTCCTCCTCTGTATGGCCTTTCATTTTCTCTTCAGATACTTTGAGTAGCAGTCTTTGAGCTTTACATTCATTCATAGGATAAACTTGCATCAAAGTTTTTATATTTTTTTTCAGTCACCAGTTTTATGCATTCTCCTAAACTGGTGCATATCAGGAAATTAGAATATATTCAAACTGTTAATTTATTTCAGTAATCCCACTTACAAAGGGAAGCTCTTACAACGTCATGTTAAGGCCATTGTAGGAGTAAATTTCTGCCAAAGTTTGCTAGAAAATTATCAGAAATTTTGAGATTAATCTCACGAATTGGCTAGAAAAACTTGGAAAGTTCTGAGTAAAATAAGTTGAGCATTTCCATTTTTTTCTTCTAGAGTTTTTAGTTTTCTAGTGTAAATTTACTCTTCTATTTCTATCTACAATGACCCTTGTCCCTTAGCCTTATCTTCCAGCTTATGAAACTGTTTACTTCCTCAGATAATTAAGACATTGTACAAGGCCAATAAAACAGATGTTTGATAAGGAAATGTTGTGGTTTACCTTTTAATGCAAGTGTCCAAAATGTCATTGCTGAAGAAGCTAGCGGTTCCATAAATGGCAACAAGAGTAATTTGCCACCATAGGAAGATTTCCAGATGAGTAAATCTCACATTAACTATTAAAAATGGTTAATGTGAACCCATGTTGCTTGAGCTCCTGTGTGAGGTTTTCAGTCAGTGAACCCTGTCATCTGCATGTGTTTTTTTTTTTTTTCAAACTTTTTCATACTTCCCTCTGCTCATTAGTCTTATGGAGATCCTGATTTAATTTTCCACTTGGATTTGGCTCCTGCTCACGCTGCCAAAAATACCAGCATCTGGTTTAACCACCACGGCATTTCTGTTTGTTGGCCAGCCAATTTGCCTGCACTAACAGAAAATCTATGGAGTAGTATTAAGAAGACGATGAGAAACCAGAGCCAACAAAGTGAACGTCAGTTTTAAAGCAACCTGGCCTTCCTTAACATCTCAGCAAAGTTGCTGTGTGATCACTTTAACTGTAACTCATGCAAAATATTTACTGTCCAGTACCTTAACTTGCTTTTCACAGGCCCACAATTATGCGTTCTTTTTTTTTTAACAATGTAGAAACTGACACTTGAAATATACTACTCTGCATAATGAGTTTATTTTTGTTCTGGATATTTCTCTGACTCCCCTGAAAGGAGCTGGTATGTAGATGACTTGGCTTCTTTACAGAACCTGCCTTCCAAAGTTGAAAATAATTTGATGAAAGGTTCTTGCAGGGTCGAGGGGAGGGGGGGGGGGGGTCATGTCTATCTCCAGTGGTCATTGGGCAAGAGGCAGGGAACATCTTGGACAGGTAATCAGTCCATCACAAGGACAAACAACCATGCACACACATGCTCACATCTAAGGACAATATACAGACCAAATAACAGTCAAGTGGAAACTGGAGTACCCAGAGAGAACTCGTACAAGCACAGACTTCCTGATTCGAACACAAAGCCTTCTTTCTGCAAGCAACAGTGCAATCTTGATTTTTGTAAAAATGTTTAATTTACAAAAAGGAACAAAGTGAACATTTGCATCTTAGATGTAAAGTAATCCATGTCATCCTGTTTGATTTAAATATTTACTGTGAAATAAGAATAGACTCTATTGTTTTGGTCTTTAACTTGAACCAAAGAGAGCCTAAAGAAAAGTTCTGACTTCATTCCTTAACTGTTGGAGAGTTGGTTCAACTTGTTGCATTCAAGTTGTTCATGATTTAGTTTTTTTTTTGTCTCCAATTCACTTTAACCTTTACTTTCTTGCTTTAACCACCAGAGGGCAGTATTTATTCAGTCTGGATTGTTGCCTTGGGTGATATGTTTCTTGAGCAGAGTTGCAGTGCAGTTTATGCTGTAAAATCCTACAGAGTGACCAATTACACCAGAATTACAGAGCAATGGGGCAAAGTGAATCATACTGAATATATTTTTACATACGTCTGCCTTCATGCTGAAAAGTAAAACTTATTGCAAGAAAAAGAAAAAAACGTAACAGATTATGGTAGCGCCTACGCCCAAAGTGCTGATGTTTCATATGTGTTACCCAGCACAGCAGGAGAATATTGTATTTATTTATTGAATTGCTACTTGTAAAAGAAAAAGGAAGAAAAATAATATGTGATAAGTTTAGAAAAAGCCTCTTCATCAATGGAGAGATCAGTACGCTATTGTTGACTTTTCTCTATAAAAGGAGACGACTGTCAAAACTTATCCCTGCTGTGTATTCTGTAAACAACAAACTGCAAGAGACAATCTTCAGCGCACTGAACATTTTAAACTTTGATTCTCCCTCTCTCCCCTTCATCAACCCCCTCCTCCCTTTTTGAGGAGACCACATCTGTTTGCTGTCTGTTCCCCTGGGCCTGCACTGTGTAATCTATTGCATTAGCTCACATTAGTGCATATCGCCCATGGGCCTCGGTAATCACAAACGCAAAATGAGCATTTCACTTAGCATCACCCTCATGTTCCCTCACACTGTGGCAGACCTAGAGCAAAGGCGTTCTTGAGGACGCGAGTCGACAACAGCTTATGACATCCGTCCTGTTACACCCGATCCCCACGTCAAAAGAGTGTGACGGTTTTCATGTAAAGCTTCGTTAATAGGCCAAAATAAGGAACACTTTGTTTTCCATCCTCTGCTTACTTCCTGTTCTGGATCTTTTTCTGTAACACGAGAAGCTTGAGGAGAGGTAACGTTTCTCCCAGAATCTTGGTCTGACTTCAATCATTTTTAGACATCGCGGATCCTTTTCTTCCCTTATGCTTTGTTTTGCTGCTAAATCATTCTGCAGGAAGCAGACTTTTATCAAGTTTTTGATGCAGATTTAAAATATAGATTAAAGAAATAAGTTTCACATGCTTGAGTAAAAACTTTGTTTTCAATCTGGTTGTTTGTGCAGGCAGAAAAAGCCCAAGGCATAAACAAATGAAGCTGCTGCTACAGGCATCCAGACCAGTAGGGGGCACCCAGGATCACCCTACGTCTCAAACAATACTTTTCATAAAAAATCTGCAATGTTTGTGAAGCACAGGCCTACTTTTATATTTGCTTTTAAGGGTTATGAATAGCAAAAACAGGAGCACTATAAGTATTGTGATTGTCTTCATTTGAAGACCAAAATAGGGAAGAATAGTTTTGTTTGCTCTTTTTTAGAATTTTTCACTGTAGTATACAATCTCCAGACAATGCAATATTCCTGCCACAATTTTGATCTGAATATAAATTTTCCAGGGACTGAGTGCAATTTTATCATTATTATTTTTACTGCAAAATCCTAACCCTAACCCTTTATTTAGACAAATTATTTGGCAAATTAAATATTAAATGTGATGCTTGATTTATATTTTAATTGAAAACGGGGCATCAAGAGAGAAATTATAGCCAAATAAAATCTAAGCTTCTGTTATAAACCCTCCAGCCAGAAGGGGGCATCCAAGAACACTAATAAGAATACAAATTTCAAAACATTTGTCAAAAACTTGATTTTGAATTTTAAAATTTTCTTTGTCGGTCAATGAAAGTGAAATAATTTACTAATGAACTTGGTAAGAATAAAATCAATATGTGATTAAAAAAACATTTCAACATTATTCATGAATAGCTATAATTTACTGTTTAACGTTTAGAATGTATTGTTGACATTTTATAATTTTTTAACTTGTTCTGCTTGTGTCAGTGTGAGTCAGTATTCTTGAACACTGATGTGGCAAATTAATCAATAATATAACTAATCCTGAATCATTGCCTTTCAGTATTTATACATCTGGAACGTTTTTCATTTTTGTCACATTATAACTGAAAACTTTTAATTTCATTGTTCATTTCTAAAAAGTGTTGGGTACATTTGTATTCAGCAGTCTTTCCTGTAATCTTGCCTTTATAAATCACCAAGTAACGAAAGTTCAATTGTGTCAAGTGTAAGTATGGATACAGTCCTATGAAGACCTCAGGTTTGTTATGAAAGCTGTGGCCTGCTCATCAATTCTTTCTAGAAGCACCTTTTGCTGCGAGTCCAGGTCTTTTAGATTATGTTTCTACCAGCTTTGCACATAAGGTGTAATAACGTCTGTGTTTTATTTGTCAAATTGGTTGAATTGTATATATTCTTAATGTTTGTTTTTGTTATTGTCCATTTGTCTTGTCCGCTTCGATATGCTGCTGCCTTTCTTGGCCAGGTCACCCCTGGGAAAGAGATCTGGATCTCAATGGTTTTTTTTTTTTTTATCTGGTTACATAAAGGTTTATTAACAATAATAAAAAGCAGAGGCTGACATTTTAACCTCCGTTTGGACAGAGAGTGTCAGTAAAAAGCAATTTTCAAGTTTTGCTATTACATATCAGACAGGTTATATAGCTACTAAGCTATTCCATTGCATCTGTGTCTGTGTGTTAAGGTGAGCTGCCCCCCTGACAGGTGAACCTTTTCCTTCTGTCTCTTATGTTTTTCAGTCTCCAATAGGTTTCCTGTAGAATTGTCTAGAATCTTCCTATCAACTCTGCGCAGCTTTCCTGACCCTGCGGATGAGCAGCATCCCCACAGCATGATACTGCCACCACCACATGTCACTCTGGGCATGATGTGAGGATATTGGTCACTGTGCTGACATTAAATTACACAGAAGAAGGAAGTTAAAATGAAGCTTGTTGCACTTGTTTTAAATGAGTCCTAAATGAAAATAGTGTTATAAAAGTAAAAAGCAAAACAAAAAGAAAACATAAACCATTTGAATAAAATCTTGCTTAAAGCCCCATAATACCATAGGGGTGAGTGTTATGTGCAACAAACCAAGACAAAAATCAGGCCATGTTGAACTACTTTCTCTTAAAATTCTGGGCATTTGACTCAAATACTTACATTTTATTTAAGAGACTCCTTATCTTGGAAACGTTTTATGCTGGATTTTTTTTATGTTTGATCTTATCGAAGGTTAAATTTAAGTTA